ACCAATTTCAAAGAGATTCCAACTCAGGGGTTCACAATTTAACTATATAATTATTACCATTTTTAAGCACAATTCAAACACAAACGAACACATGTATCTTTGAAAGTTCTAATTCTTAATCGTTTTGTTTTGGGAAAAACGCCTTCCCTGAATTTTTATCAGGGGTGTATCTATTCCTAAAAAATCATTACCTCCCACTCTCTCTAGAAAAAATATTTTTTCCCCCAAGTATGCTTTTTCTAGTTTTAATCACTAAATCGGGGAAAATAGATGGATTTTAGGGAAAAAAGGATAAAAAATGATGAAAAGGGATGAAAAAGGATGAAAAAGGATGAAAAAAGATGAAAAAGGATGAAAGAGGATGAAAAAGGATGAAAAAAGATGAAAAAGGATGACAAAGGTTGAAAAAGGATAAAAAACGTGCCTTTTCATATCCAATTTTTAATATTTCCCCAGATCTACACAAATCCCNAAAATATATTGAATCTCTAAGCGTAAATATAGTATATTTTGTCATATTAAAATAGTGTATATTCTCTGGATATGCGGTTGAACAATAAAACCTATTATCCTGATACATTATCAGTATTGTAATGTATAGAGCGGAAAACTTAATAAAATAAAAGCTTGGAGAACTTAAGTGTACATCAAGGAAGACCGATTATCAAAATTGCTTCAACCGGAAATGTATGAAGCATGAAAATGTGAGAAACTTTGCAAAATTTTTGATATTTTCAAATTTTCCATTTAAAACCCGGTTTTAGCATCTAATTTTTTAATTTATGAAAATTTTTTCGATTACAATGAAATTTTTGATTTCTGTTTTATAAAAGAAATCATTTGATACCCATGAAGTTTTAAAAATTGCCTACTTTAATACATAATAAAGCTTTTAAAAACTGTTTATGCCATATTGACTAAAGACGTTTTAAAATATAAAATATGAATTATGTATGCTTTTCTGGGTGAAGCAAGTGAAATTTCCAAAATTGACCTTGCTTGCTTGCATGGGTCATTTAATATATAAAATGTTTTTTAACTAATGAATTAATTTTAAGAAATGTTTAGACTCATATTTTATTTTTTATTTCAAAAGGAAGTTATTAGGAATGAAATAATCAATTTTATAAAAATCTTTTAACGAACTTTTAACAAAAATGTTGGTTGAAATATATATCTTGACAAATATATAATAAAAATTTATAAAATTCTAATTAAATGAAACCAAAATATGATATAAAATCAAATATTTATGCAATTAAACCAACATTAGGCAAGTTGTATATTATATATAAAATTGAACGAAAGGCCAATAGGCTAATAAGCTGATTAAAAACAAAGGCTTGTAAAATAAACATAAAATAAAAGAACTGGCAGATAAGAAATTAAATAAAAGATCTAAGCTAGGAATTTTAAATGCAGAAGAAAGAAGATTGGCTTAAAACGATTCTAGTTTGAAAATTCAATTACACTTTGTCAAAGCGAGAAGAAATGCCTTTTGGGGGTTTCTTCTCCCACTCTCGCGGTTTTAAATAAAACTTTTTGTCAATCTTGAGTCCAATTTAACTTTTTCTATTTCTGTGCGGTATAAAATAGAAATAAAAGATACAGACTCGTCCATGGTTTAGGATAAATCTACATTATTCTCAATCCAACAAACTTCAACCCTTAACCCATTCAATTCCAATAATACAGGGTGTGGCAAAATTTGTGTTATTTTAACAACACAGGGTGGTGATAATTTGTGTTTATATGTATTTTCAAACCTGCAGAAGTTCAAGGGCTTCTCCGGACCAGTTTACAAGGAGTTTCAGGCTCCCTTTCCCAGTTTTAGGGGGTTCTAGGGAACCTTTTATAGTTTCTGAGGTTTCTAGGGACTCATTCACGCATTTCAGGGGTTTATTGGGGTTTAGAGATCCGTTAACAATTTTTAAGGGGTTTAGGGTCCCCTTTTTAGCTTTGGGCTTTTCTTTTGTCCCTGTTTCAGGTTCAGGGGTTGACACGATCTCTTTTACAGGCTCAGTGGTTTCTAGGGTTTCCAGAGTCCCTTTTCCAATTTTAAGGGATGCCAGGGATATTTTCATGGGTTGAGGGGTTTCCAGGGTCTCCTGTATAAAGGTTTCAAGGTATGCAGTTGTTTGTCGCTTTTTGATCATGATTTCTAGGTATGATGTCACAGAAGGCATTTGTTCAATGGCATTTGGGTTGCTAATATGTAACATTTCTTCTTCAGGGGTTTCTAGGTTTCTCATGTTGGGGGTATCTAGATTTTCTTTGTTAAGAGTTTCTGGGTATCCTTTATGAGGGGTTTCTAGGTTATCTTTGTTAGCAGTTTCTGGGTTTTCTTTGTCAGGGATTTCTAGGTTTTCTTTGTTAGGGTTTTCCAAGTTCGTTAGTGGTTCTTGTTGATGTTTAGAGGAAACTTCTTTGGTTTTAGGAGTCCTTAGTTTGGGCGTTTCTAGGTCTTTAATATTTAGATGATGTTCTTCATTTGTCTCCAGGTTTCTAAATTCTAGAAATCCATCTTGGGGGATTTTGTCTAGGTTATCTATTTTTCCAATATCCCTAGATTCGTCACTTTCATGACTATCTTTACCTGTAAGTTTATTTTTCTTGGATCTGAATATCTTTAACCAAAAATATCCAAGGTTTGCTGCAAAAAATATCTGCTTTAAAAATAAGAAAATAAAAGGACTTGTACACACATCTCTTACAGTGCGGGAAAAATGCATATTGGCAGCCCCTTNCACACAATTCTTTTCAATTTTTTATAATTTTCATAAAAAAGGACAAAAAAGAAATATAAAAAAATTAATTTCCAGAAAGAGCAAATATTTTCCTGCTAGAAAAGCCATTATGGTGAGGGTTACTGTAGATTAATTAGGATGAGCTAATTATGCCTGATCAATGATATCAGTGGATAATTTGTTTAGAAGTCATTTACAGACTAGAAGTCATGCAAAAGACTGGAATAAAAAGGCTCATTTTTGCTTAAAATGACTCACTTTAAGTAATAAAAAAGTAATCACTTGAGTTGGCTCACTTCTAACTGAAAATAATGAGACAAAGTATTGCTTAGTCTGAAAACTCTTATCAACACTTAACAAACACTAAGCCAAAAAAGATAAAAACTGGGTTGGTTAAAATATAAACAGAACAAAAAATTTTACACCAAAAATAAAATAAAAATAAAAACAAATTAAAGGGAGTGTTAGCGAAAAATTAAAGGGATTCAGGCTGAATCTTAATCAAATTTAGATTTGATCGCTACGAATTTTACTTTTATCTGTTACGTCTATAAGGGGGAAATGATTAAAAATGCTTAAAACCGAAAATTTTAGGATAATTTTTATATTAATGTAGTTTATTCATCAATATCATTTTGTATTTCATAATGTACTTTTAAGGACGACTATTTTTCCACTAGGTGTCTCTAACAGAGAAATCTGCTAAATGACGAGAACAACAAAAAATGGAGCTTTGAAAATTATACAAGACAACTTAAAGGAACCTAGAAAAAGATCAAGTAAAATAGTAGACAAGACTATAAAAATAGTAGACAAGATTTTAAAACACTAAAACGACGAAAATTATACCAACAAGACAAGACAAAAACGACAAGAAAATTATTAGGAGGAAGAAAAAAGGATCTTTGAAATATATAGTGGACAAATAAAACATGCTTGGAGGAGAGAGACAAAAATAAGAAAGAAAGAATAATGAGAATTAATGATGTGATTTAAGAAAAATGAAGAAAGTTCTCGTAGGAATACGAATAAGAGAAAACCTTGAAAACAACAGAATAAGCTTTTATACTCTTCCTCACCCCCCTCTTCTTAGTTTTCCTCCTCCCCCCTCTTCTTAGTTACCTTCCAATTTTTCCTTTAATCCCCCGTTTTCTTTATCCGTTCTTTTCCATTAAACTACCCCTTTTCCTTCATTCCCCCTTTTTCCTTATATTTCGGGGTCGAGCAAAGTTCAGTTTCAACTTAAATTTAAACACATTGCAGGGATCCCAACAGCATTGTTTTACATAAAATAAATTTTTTAATCTTTTTTATTAATGTTTTTTTTTCTTCTCATTTTATCATAAATTTAAAGATTGATTTTAGTTTACTTTTGTCTGCATCAATGAGTCAGGAATAGGATTATGATGACTTACTCATATTTCTATTTCAACAAAATTTTCAGTGAAAATTAAGTGAAATGGTGTCAATTTGATTTAAATATGAATGTCAACCCCTCAAAAATATTGAGAAAATTTTCTGAATTATTGACATTTCCCGAGCATTTAAATTCATTTGTGAAAAAATTCATACTATTTTCATCTGAAAATAATCAAAATTTGTTTTCAGGAGTAATATTTTATGGCCCAAAAATATTTTTAAAATAAGTTTTAGTTTAGGATTCGTTACCAGAACATTTTTCACTCATTTTTCAAGCTGTACAAGAAAAACTTTAAAAACACGAAGAAAAAAGTCTATGTAAAGATTGTGCAGTGTAAACAAGAGTATCTATTTGTAGTAATGCATATTTTAAGTTGTAATCTCTGTTTATTTGTTTGTATGTTCAAGCATATCTCACGAACCCCTGGACCAACCTACAATTTTGATTGGGGAACTCAGAAGAACCACGGAAATAGTCTTGGTTTTGAGATTCTAAGTTGGGTGGGTTCACTTTTATAGGGTAAAATAGATAACATCGTAATTTACGACTAAGCACGGGTAAACGGCGGGAGTAACTATGAGTACCCTGGGCAACGCTGGGTTCTCAAGCTAGTATACTATATATCATAGAAATGGTAAATTGTAAAATGTATTCTTAGTAGTGTGTTTATATAAATATTAAATATTGTTTAACTGAACTAGCATCTATGTATTGTATCTTATTGCACTGTTGTATGCCATGAAAAATTGATACACTCTAGTTGTACTCTAGTTGTACTCTAGTTGTACTCTAGTTGTACTCTAGTTGTACTCTAGTTGTACTGTATCTCCTACCTGTCTGACTGCTAGAACTAGTTGGCCGGAGTGAGGTTCTCGAGCTGCGCGGATAAAGTTCACAACCTGGATACGATAGATAGATAGATAGATATGTGATAGATAGATAGATATGTAGATAGACAGATAGATAGATATGTAGATAGATAGACAGACAATATATAGAAATATAGAAAGATAGTTACATATGTAGATAGAAAGACAGAAAAAATACTATGCTCACAAAAAAGAAGTACTGCAGTTTGACAGTTTCACGGAGAAATGTAAACATACTCATGTATGCTTAAATTCCTCCCAGAAAATGCCATACATCTCGATGTTTTGCCACTTGGATCCGGATCCGTGGGATCGTGAATCCGAATTTTTTTGCAGATCCGGATCCAGACAGCGAAATAAAATATTACAGATAGGGATCCTAAGCATTGACTTAAAGTTTAAAAAAAAATTTTAACACGGACATTTTAAAAAACCCAAACAAATATATAATAACAAAAGGATTTTAAAATTAAAGGAAGATACACAGAAAACCCTGATGTACAACAGTTTAATGGAAGAATGGTGCTTCTCAGGTTAAGTTTTCTTTAAATTCTTCCCAGAACAAAGCAAGGGGAGGGGGGAGGGTGAAATATTGTTTTCCCCCCACTTTTGGATACTTTTAACACAACAATTCAATCCCCCAAAACCCTTAAAGATGTTAAAAAAAATATGATGTTCCCTTCTTATAATCTAATATTAACCTGATCATGAGTGAGTGAAGATATATCCCTGCCATTGATCATGACCACCTGATCACCCTCCGTGAGACGAGGTATACATGTATCCGCCGGGGTACCCCCAGCTACCCTGCTCACTATTACAGGGACACCCTGATCATTCCCTCCCTTCACGTTGAACCCGAACCTGCCCAGGGTATCCGGGAGCATTGTGATGATCACGAGGCCGACGGAGGACCCGGAAATTTGGCTGGAGGCGTCTTCAACATCCTCCGGAGGTGTAACAGAGGCAGTCGGAGGAGGTAGAGACGGTGAAGGTAAAGGGGAGGGGGATTGTATTTGGAGTGTAGCAGTTTGACTTGGAGGCTCGCTGCTTGCTCTCTCGCTACCCTTCTCAGACGCAGAATCGTCGACGAATGAGAATTTGGCTGGGGGGCAGGAGAGATCAACGGGGGATCGGCGGGAGTGATTAGATCGAGATTCGCTGGACGGAGCCGAGGGTCGGAGGCGGGGGATTGTTCTCGCGAGAAAGCCGCCATCGTCGTCAGATTCTTCCGTCCAGGCGCGTCGGGGCACGCGAACTCCCAAGGACTGGACGCGAGTGTTAAAAGACTCGTAGGCACGTACCGCGAGGGATACGCGACTTGAGGTTTCAGAAAGAGGTTTGGGTGGATGGGAGGGTGAGGGAGTAACAAGGTTGGAGGGAGGAGGAAGAGAAGTATTGGACTTATTTGAGGTTCCATGGTTACTTGATCCTAAAAGCAAAATAGTGTTAAAAATGTTTTTAAACGCCATGAAGCACATGATCTAAAAATATGAATTACACAAAATTATTAGAGGCTTAAAATTCTTCTTCTAAAAAGATTTTCAGAGCTTACACTTAATTTTAAATACTTGAAAAATCAAAAATGATGGGGCTCCATTTGTATTATTTCATATAACATTTTTTTCGGTAAATTGTTTCCTTCAATAGTAGTTTTAAAGACGATTTAACACCTGTTAAGGAAACAATAGATTGTCCTATTTAAAGTTGTTGATGGTGATGGACCAAACCTCTGTAGATGTTAGTTCCACATTTATTGTCCTAACCCCCCCTTTTCAAAACTGAAATATTGTTCTAAACCCCCTTTTCAAAACTGAAATATTGTCCTAAAACCCCATTTCAAAACTGAAATATTGTCCAAAACCCCCTTTTCAAAACTGAAATATTGTCCTAACCCCCTTTTCAAAACTGAAATATTGTCCAAAACCCCCTTTTCAAAACTGAAATATTGTCCTAACCCCCTTTTCAAAACTGAAATATTGTCCTAAACCCCCTTTTCAAAACTGAAATATTGTCCTAAACCCCCTTTTTTAAAACTGAAAAGTGTTGCCCTAAACCCCCTTTTCAAAACTGAAAAGTGCCCCCTTATCTTTAGATATTCCTACCTATTGAACTATGTTCCGGAGAGGCTAGCAAGAGCTTTCGTCTTTCAAGATTGGCTGGCAGGGTTTGCCGATTCGGCCGACGGACGCCGGAACCAAGTAACCCGGGAGTTGACCGACTCGCACTTTCCGTTACCGTCTGGTATTCCGTTCGACCGGAGTATCGGAACTTTGAGCTGAGAGTGAACGGGAATCTGAAAAATTTAATTTATTATCATTAATTTTCTTGATTTTAATTAATGTACATTGTACACTAAACAATAAAAAATACTCTGTTTTCCCTACCTTTTACTCGAGAGCTTGGGACTATGTAATCTAAAGAAAGAATGGTGTTCGACAGCAGATTTCCACAGATTTTTACAGGATCGGTAGGAGGAGAGATTAAAACCTGAGAAGATATTATTATTTTCTTTATACATGATTAAGAGACTGAAAGCGTACTTCACGCCTGTATCCTTGAAATCTCTATTTTATCAATAATATGGTTTAATTTTGGTACTTTTAAAGTGTTGTCCTGCAGTAGAAATGCGCAAAGTCTTTAATATTATGAAATTATGATGTCTAATGCATACTTAATCAGACAAAGCTTTTAAGGATACTGTTGTGAATCAGGCATTTGTGCATGGAGGGTTATTTAAAGATACGCCAACAGTCCCTTTAATTAAAATATTCTAAGCCGGGTTCGGACTAAACAAAGATATTTAAGAGAAACTGAACTAACCCCCCCCCCCCCCGAGTTTTCCACGAGCTAGGATCTACCTAATTAAAAACCGTGACACATCCCATTAATCAAATGAGATAAACTGTTTCTTACCAAGTAACGTATCGTAGGTCTCCGTCAGCTCTTTCCGTAATTGAATAAAGAATTGTTTTCTTTTGAACGAGATTTTCACTATCTTACTCCAACTAAACCCAGTTCCATTTAATTCAAAACCGAACAATATTTATCAGAAATTGGATGAAAATCAATAAAATTTCAGATATTAAAGAATTGAAAAGTGCAGAAAAATAATTGGAAATATGAAAGTGTTAGAAGATTGAGCTTTCGAACTGTCACTATTATTAAAAATTCCCCTGCTATGGTAAAAACAACATGAAGTACTACAAATTCAGGATTATTAACAGTACACAACACACTTTAAACCAGTGCAGTGCTAAGGATCCATTTAATTTTGATGCGGATCCGGATCCTGAATCCGCACTGGAAAAAAATGGATCCGAATCCAAATCCGGATCCAGATCCATGTCATTTCTTTGAAGTTTACTTAATTTTTTAAACAAAAACTAATTTTCAAATTTAAAAAAAAAAATTTCGTTTTTTTAATCCTAAAACCATTCAGAAATGAGGAAATTTTTATAATCTCCATTTTTGCAAAACTTCAGATTTGGTTTTTAGGAGTAAATAAGTTCTTTTTTGCAGTTTTTGGTTGATATTTTACCCCTTGGATCCGGATCCTAAGCACTGCTTAAAACCTTAAAATACAAATAGTATTGACAAAAAGAAAGAACGAAGGAAGGACATCATGATACAGCGTTTTAAATTAGGCGTTTTGTATCCAATTCCACTGCAGTACTGTACTAGTTTTGTATCCAATTCCACTGCAGGTATTTGGAGTGTAGCAGTTTGACTTGGAGGCTCACATGTATACAATAACTTCATGTATACAATAACTTCGTGTAAACAATAACTTCATGTATACAATAACTTCATGTATACAATAACTTCGTGTACACAATAACTTCATGCACAAAATAACTTCATGTACATAATAACTACATGTACATAATAACTTCATGTACATAATAACTTCATGTACAGAATGATCCTATGACACACACAATATTAGATTCGAGGACAGTGGAATGTTAAGTTACTTAGCTGTCCCTTTGGAAAATTAAGTATTATAACATCCCGCTCTTCAAAATTTCCGTATAAACATTTTTAGCTCAAAAGACGATAAAATAGTGTACAACCACTAAACCACGAGTTCCTTCTGCCAATTTTGCCTAAAAATATCCCTCCATACACTCTGAAAATTTATAATTGAAACTTCACTATCAATAAAAAAATGCTAGTAATACAAGATTAAATTATTGGATTAAATGGAATGCTGCCTAAATGTGTTAATTTTCAGATTGTTCTGGAAAACCACGAGGCCGATAGATGTCACTCCAAGCTGTATATCCCGACTGTTAGAATCCTAAAAATTCATAATGATAAAATTTCTAATTATTTTACTATCATCGAAAACATTATTTTATTTTTCCGAAAGTTTTAATTTATCTTTCAGTTAAACAATCTTGGAAATTGGAAAAAAAGGAGCAGGGCCCTAACTGGGTAAGGGGGCACATAAAATAAATATTTTACTATGTAAGATCGCTTTGCCATCCCCCCCCCCACAAAGTTTAGTCTGAGGGGGGGAGGGGTCAAATATATGGGATTAAAGGAAAATCGAACTTTTTCGCCATTCTTTAGTTTTTAGATTTGTTGGAGGCCGGGAGAAAACCTTTCTGGAAGAAGAGATGAGGGGGGGGGGGTAAAAAAGCTGATAAAAGAATTTACCTTTCCCGGGTGGAGGGAAATACCGTACATCTCCAACCGTTTAGCGTGCTCAAGAAAATTTAATTCCGCCTCAGCGGGACTCTGGCCTTTATGCAACCTTAATAGATAAATCAATCAATCAAAGTTGGCAGAACAAAAAATTAATCAGTCAAAGTAGGTAGAAAAATCAATTAATCAAAGTTGGCAGAAAAATCAAGCAATTAATCAAAGTTGGCAGAAAAATCAATCAATCAAAGTTGGCAGAAAAAATCTATCAGCACTTTTGATCAATCATATAATAACTGTTTCCTTGATTTCTTATTGTATTTTTGAGTGTGTTTAAAGCTATTTTATTTTATAGACGTTTCAGTCAATTAATCAAACTTTTCAAATGAAAATGGCGTATTTTCTTATTTTGAAGATATAGCTCCTGAGTTATATCCAGTTGACAGAACCATTGGGATCATTTGGTCAACTTTATTATTGATCTAGCCAATTATTTAATTCGGCAATAAACCAACAAAAATCATAATCAAAAGCATAAAATCAAAAGCATAAAATAAAATATTGTATAACAAATATTTTCATCAAAATGATAACTCACGTTTTCATTTAATCTACTCGACATTTGAAATAATAATATTATTTTGAAATAACTAAATTCTTTTTGAATATATTTATGAGTTACCTATGTAGCTCTGCTATTCTTCTGTCTATTTCTAATTGATCTTCCATCCCTGATCCTTTACAGTGGGTTCTAAACATATATCATTCATTGATCTTCCATCCCTGATCCTTTACAGTGGGTTCTAAACATATATCATTCATTGATCTTCCATCTCTGGAGACATCGAAAGAATTTATAAAATGTCGTTTTTTAAAACTGAAAATGGAATGCTGCAGATATTTAGTTTTTAAATTGAATGATTAAATGGACCTCTTTAACACGGTTCCCATGGCTATTTATTTTTACAATTACTAAGGTTTAGATATAATAGTATAAAACCAATTGAAAAATTGTCAAGAGGACTTTTAATAAACTCTCTGAAGTTCTGGGTTTAACTGTCCTTTCTTGTAATTATGTAAATCACAACAAAATCAAAAAAGTATTTAAGGATATTTATTTTTAAGAATTACCCTCTCCCCCAAGGCAAGGGGATTGATTTTTGACAAATGGGGGGGGGGGGGAACTGAAAATTAAGCGGCAAGATTTTTACAAAAAAAGTTGAAAGTTAATATTTTCTCAAACAGATTGAGCAAGGCATCAAATTTGATTGCTTGGTAGCTTTCCAAGCCAAGAACATTCCCGTGGCTTTCCAGAGTTCCCTAATCAAAATTATTTGAGGCAAATCGGTCCATGGGTTCCTGAAATTTTTAAACCCCTGAATTTTTGAGAAAAAATAAAATAAGGAGGCAAAAATAATATAATCCCATACTAATACCTAAGGTTAGTGAAGGGAGCAAGATATCCAGATCTACAAGAATCCACGTCGAAGTCTCCTAGTGTACTCTGAGCAGTGTAGGAGGTGAGTAGGGAGATGGTGGAGAGAGGGCCCAGCAATCTTCCATACACAAGATCCTGCTTCACCTACACACCAGTATACATAGTTATTTACAACTATATCTATATATTAAAACAAGACATTCGCATATATATATATATACAATATGTATAGCAGGCCATAGTTATAAAATTTTTATTTTTGGAGGTCATTTAAGGTCATTAGATGGTTAAACACTGGATTCGTTGCTGCTACGGCATTTCCTGGGTTCCTATCTTTTGTTTGATATGCTTAAAGCCATAGTTAAGACATTTTAATTTTGGAGGTCATTTAGGTCATTAAAGGTCAATAGAAGGTCAAACACTGGATTTGTTGCTGCTACTGTATTCCTGGGGTTCCTAGCTTTACCCCTACATCAAATGTGTCAACTCCACCATCCCCTTTTTCAAAATATTATTTTCAATTTTTTTTTCCAAAGCCGGGCCCTTCAGCCAGTCTTTATAATATAACAAGACATTCGTATAAATATATATGTTGCCTATAGCCGGCAAAACAGCTGGATTGATTGGGCTGAAATTTTTTGTGGACACTTAGGGGTGGCCGGGGAGTATATTAGGCTATACAAAATTAGATTTAAAAAAAAATTTTAAACATTTTTTTTCACGGACAACGCCGGGTCCTTCAGTTAGTATATGTCTAGAGAGAGGGGGGGGAGAGAAATCTAAATTTAAACAAACAGGGAAGAGAAATATACAAGTGAGGTAAAAAGTGTAATAGGAGGTAAAATCAGAAAAAGGGAAGAAATTTCATTTCTGAACGAGGGGGAGAAATTAACTCTAAGCAAATAGATTCTAGTACAATAGATGGCAACGTAGAATTTGTACACACTCAGTACAGCTGTATTCTGACGTCACAAGTGTCAATTCAGTTTTTGTGCCAACAAAATTAATAATAATAGTGATAATTTTGGAATAAAGCGCTTATCTTACGGTAAAATAAGTGCAATTTTGTGGTTTTTTTTATACAATTTTTTATTTAATCTTGAAAAACATGTCAACTAATGTGAGTAACATTCGTGAGTCTTGTTATATTTGACACTTGTGACGTCGTGTATAATTGGTTCATTTCTCTGTTGCCACCTATTGTACTTGATAATCTATTTGACTCCTAAGTAAGAATATAATTTAAATTATGCAACCCTGAAAATTCATCCATTTGTCCCTTGAAAAAATGGGGGGGGGGGGGGGTCCAGAGGGGGAATTTAACAAGAAGATTATACCTTCGTCCTAGTTTGTCTTACCTGAAGGTAAAGATGGTATCTAGTATACTCCTCCTGCAACCTGCTCGGATCTGTCACATAGAACTTAACCCTGAACTGCAGGTGCACCTCGCACACACCCTTTACACGCATCTGCTTACGCAGCGGTTTACTGGGATCCAACCATCGGGACACATCGGGAGCAGGACCCAAGGGTAGGGGTACTCCACCCTCACAGAATATTAAACCAAAATATTCACGCTCCGTAAGCTCCAGGTGCTGAAATTAAAATTATTATATTATAAGATGATTGATACAAAAATTGGACTTGAACTGGCACCTCCCCTTCATTGGATACTTTCTATTAAGAATTTATTAATTTCGTTTTTTAATTTTTCAATTTCAAAGTTAAAAGTTTTAAAAATTCTACTCAAAAAACAGAAGAAGAAAAATTGAGTTCTGTGCTTGTGTGCATACATTTAATCCATCTTAATAAAAAAAAAAAACATTGAAATAAAGGAGTCAGCTTTGTATCTGTGACATTTCATTTTAAAAAAATGTGATTTTTATTTTCTATTTTCTACCTGGAAAACCAGATTTAGAAGATCTGCTCCCTTTGCCTTCTTGTCAAGGAAGAATCTATGTACAGTATCGTCAAGGAATGTCACGTGTACAGGAAACTGACGCAGTGTACTCCCTGACCCCTCGCCAACTTTGTACACTCCAGTCTAAAAAAATCTTATTGTTTTTTTAATAAAACAAAAAAATATATGAAAGAACATATAATATCAATCTTACAGGTGTGTGTATTTTCCTGAAAAATCATTCGATTTCAAGTAACATATAATAACTTAATTTTCGTGCTGCCAGAAAAACGTAATTTTGTTGGCCATTTTTAGACATTCTTAAATTTGAGAGTTAGTTAATTACAATTGCAATGCTTGAAAATCGTCAATTTATTACCAAATTTAGTTGAAAAATTTTCAATTTTTCTTCTACGCACATACACCTTAAGAACAATACCTTTTTTCTGTTTTCTGTTTGGTATAATGTTTCTAAAATATGCTTATCTAATCATATATATCTTTAGAATTGGTCGACCTGAAAACATTTAAAGAAATCAGTTTTATCAATTTTTTTCGAAACTAACATCGGTCAATTGATTTTAAGGCAATTTTGAATTTTCCTAACATAATGAAACGTATTTCTAAAGATATATGAATAAATAGGCACAGTTCGACAATTTTGTAGCTCAATTTGCTAATAAATTGACAAAATTTCCAATACTTGGACTTTTTACAACTTTGTTTTTTAAGTACTCGGGATTTTCAAAATGATATAAAACATCATTCTAAGTTTAGAATTAAGGATTTGGCGATAATTTTAACTCTCAAATAAATAAATGTCCGAAAATGGCCAAAAATCACGTTTTTTTGACGGCAAGCGAAATAAAGGACATGGAAAGAAAGTATTTTGGATTTTTCTTAGCTTCATAAATATCTATTCTTGAGAAAAAGAGCACCACTAAACAATTTTACCCCTCCCAACAAGTTTTTACACCCCCAACCCGTGTGATTAGTCACCTGAATACTGGAAGTGGAAATCCCTCGGCGGTTCATTTTTTCCACCAAAGTTTCCATTTCCGTCATCTATTCAATCCATCCATTCCACGTCACTTTCATTCATTAATTTGACATATATATACACATAACTTTTCACTTTTGATAATCCTTTTCTGCTTTAGATTCACAAAAACATTGTTTTTCTCTGAAATATTTCACATTATATTAACTTTTATCGAAAACTTGAGTTTTTTTTATTTGTTTAAATTCATGACATTTTTAATTGAAGCAATGTAAAACAATGAGTTTTATCAAATTTGTTGTGTTTAACAAAACATATCTCCAAGGTTCTTTCCAAACCCATCTAAAACAGATGCTTTTCCATAATTATTTGGTTTGGAAAATATACAGTTCCTCGTCTTCGTTGTGTTTAATCTTGATGAATTTGGAACGCGGAATTTTGCGCTATGGCGCGAAGGGGAGGTTGCGTAAACGCGTATGCGTGCGTATCAAAGACTTTGCAAATTTAATTAGCTGGGACCAAAGGCTGCTTCGTTGAAGCCAAATCGCACGATTAATAAATCCTGCCAGGTGGATTTAAGTCTAGATTATCTACCCTAGTGTTTCATTAGAGGTGTAAACCGTGCTATTAACGTTAATGCCGCGATGTCTTAATAGCAGGATAAATAAATCCACCCGCACGGGTGGATTTACCCTAGATTATCTACCCTAGATCGTACGATTAGTTGGGTTTGGCTCAAATTATGAGAGAGAGAGAGAGAGATATAGATAAATAGATAG